ACTGACAGCATGGGGACTACCCTGTCCTTCCTGTCACTTGCCACTCACAACTGTCAGACTTTTGCAACATGGCAACTGGGGAAATCCCAACTGAGTGGTTTGATCGTTCACTGTGCAACTTGTGGCGGAGCGTCAAGTTCACTTTCAAGTCCACCAAACAGTGCAGTATCAGCCCGCTTCTAGTTTTCACTCACGCCAGTCTATCAGTCACAGTACAACGTCTCACAGCGTCAGTTGAGTTCCTAGTGCCTTGAGCCAGGCTTGAGCCAAACCATAGTTTGGCAGTGCAGTAGATTCAGTGTACTGTGCAGTGCAGTGCAGAGTGACAGTCATATCTAACAAGACAGACAAACAAACAAACAAACAAACAAAAAAACAGACCAATATATAGATAGGGAATGATACGGACGATATTTGGGAAATTTACATTCTGCTGATTTCATTGTACCCGTTGTGGAATGACACCCATGGGATATCAACCATCCAAGGTGGGGGTCCATTGAGTCAGTGAGTGACATGGTCAATTGGTTAATCAATCAGTCAGTTGGTTGGTTAGTTAGTTGCTTAGCTGAGTTAGTTAGATAGTCAGTGAGTCAGTGAGTAAATTAATCAGTTAGTTAGTGAGTTAGTTTGTGAGTTCTTGAGTTTCTAAGTTACTTTCCTTGCTAGTTAAACTCTTAGTTAGTTCGGGAACATGATCATTATTCAATTCGGTCGAGTCATGTCATGTAATAGCTATACCGGCAAAACTGATCAATGGTTTACCATTTTCAGACAAAGCCAAAGGGCACCATGTTTCTTGGTCTACTTGGAAACGCAGTTCCAGTTATAAGTGGGTACATTCACCATCGTTATTGGGGTGATATCCCAACTGATGGGAGTTTACAGGCATAGTTATACCTATGTGGAACCTCAACTGCATCCCCATTTTAGGAAACCTTCATTTTAGTCCCATTACATCACCATATTCCCATGTCATATCATTATATCACCATAATATTCCCGTGATATCACCATAATATTCCAATGATATCACCATAAATCCCATTAAATACCATTAAATCACCATTAAATCACCATTAAATCACCATTAAATCCCATTAAATCATCATTAAATCACCATAAATCCCCTGCATTTGAAACCTCCGTGTTGCTGGATCTCCCGTTGAAACCAAAAAAAAAGCCTGCGCATCGCGCCGCAGCGAGGCCATCGATGCCTTTCCACCCGACCTGGGCTGCCGGGCTGCATCTCGGAAAATCATGGGACATTTATAGGAAAATTATAAGAAATCCCGAAAATCCCCGAACTAAATGGAGATCTAACTGGGAAAATCATCGTTAAATGCTGCGTTTTCCAGTGCGAGTCATAAACATGACGACCAGAGGGCCCCAAAATGCACGATTTGTCAATGAGGACTTGGATGATGAAGCAGTGGATTTGGGGGTTGTAGGGTGTTTTCCATTTTTGGACAAACAACCATGTTTGGTTCAGGGAATCAATCGTTGTCAGGCTTACCCTTTAGGATGATTTCAGAGGGTCATCCACTTGCTATATAACTGATGCACATCCAAGTATTGCAAACGAAGGTCTGTGCAAGGTCTACTCAGGGAATACCAATCCCAAAATATAGCCCCAACACATAGCAGCATATCTGCGTAGTAGGCGACTGAAAATGACAGTGGACAATAGAGGAACATGATCTCTTCTAAAGATTGGGTTATTGGGTTTCAACTGTGAAACTGGAGCGATCAGTCCAACAAAATCAAGGATGTGGAGTGAGCATGATTAGTAATGAGTTGAAGTTGCTCTGATTGTTTATCCGTTCACATCTAAACGGGGTAATTTCGGGAGTCTTAGACTTTAACAACGGATATGATATGAACCACAAAAACGTCCTGAAGTGAATATCATCATTCTCCGTAGTATCCAGCATCAAAACTAAGAAATACTTGACTCTCAGCGTTCTGCAAATTATGATGTTTCACAAAACCTGAAACAAACTTTCCACGGTTTTACAAACGTTTAAACTGTTTCTGGGAATCATTGGAAGTTGATTTTTAAGCATTGGGTTTACCACAAAATACTTAATCCATCTTTGGTTTATGTGTGTCATCCATCCCAAAATGGAAATCCTCAAAAATCTCAAGTGATTACAAGGATGACCCTCTTCCAATATGGATACCCTCTGGTAATTTAACATAGCTATGGAAAATCACCATTTTCAATGGGAAAATCCACTATAAATGGTGATTTTCAATAGCTATGTTAAATTACCAGAGGGTATATATCATATCTCGCATTCTCTCGCCGTTTTGATGGGCAAAACATGATACAGCCAGGTTGCCCGGCCACCCAAAGCCACGGTAGTCCAGCAAACACATCTCGCAGAGTCCCTCGTCCACCAAATCAGCCACTTCGGACCTGTCTCAACGAACATCGCGAAATCCCATGGCTTTTTCGGAAGGCTAAAAGGGGGGTTGATCTTAGAATAAATCTATGTTAGTTGGTATGCGAATATACTGACACTTTGGATTTTCCATGGAGATGTTTTCCAATTTCAATCAATTGAAGGTGTTGAAAGGCAGAAAACCATCGTTTGTCCCATCAAATTTGTTGAGGTTTTGTGGAAATCTTCCCTTCCCACCAATCCTGAGACGGGGGAAAAAAAACACTACGTGAATATGTGCGCTGCAACCTTGACGTTTCTCCATGCTGATTCCACATTTTTTCCAAAACAATCAACCCTAAAACCCTGAAACCCAAAACCCTAAAAACCTAAACCCTAAAACCTTAAATCCTGAAACCTAAAGTCACAATCGCTGTGTATCGCCGGTGTTTTCTTTCATCCTCTTGTGACAAGTATATGATAGTATCTGGGCGTGTTATGTGGATATGGAGAAACGTCCGGGTTGGGGCGAACATGTTTTGGGAACCTCGGATTCTTGTAGCATGTAATTTTCGGGTGTCCCACCGAAATCTAAAAATTGCATAAAAATTGCCAGAAATCCTAGGGGATAGTTTGCCATCAATGATGAGGACAACGCCGAAATTGCACGACCCACGAGCACACTTGCCCTGCAAAAATAGAATGTTTTTTTTACAAATCTTATCTGATTGGTGGTTTCATCCCCTCTGAAAAATATTGGTCAGTTGGGATTATTCTTCCCAATATATGGAAAAATAAAAGCCATGTTCCAAACCACCAACCAGTTATATAAATCACACAGACCTAATCAGAAAAACAAATCGATTTTCAATATTAATGGTACTGTTTGGTACTGCAAATGACATCTTCGCTATTTTCGAATGTCAAAAAAAAGTGCACTGGGCAGTTGACATGAGAAAAAGTAATTGTTTGTGGTACTTTTCACTACTCTCATCTTATGTGAGCATAGTATAAGGGGTTCTTGAGCCAAGATAGCTACGGACATTTATGTGCCATATTATATTCACATGTGCCACTATCACAGGACATGTACCGACAGCCTCCACATAGATTTCAAACATCTCCAAATCCACCGAGAAAATGACCACAATCCATCCAGGAATCAACCATTTGGTGGATGATTTCCCCCATCCAAACCATGATCTGCTGGAGGTTATACCCCAAAAACTAACATGCCATCCCTGCCGCTTTTTTGTTGGCGATTGGGAGACAATTCTTTCCAACCGATATAAGAACGCGCAATTCTCAGGGTCAAACTGTAAAATTTGGGAAATGATACATTTGACATAGACCCTGAAAGCCAATTTTTACTGGAAACGGGTTTTAAAACGTTTTAAAACCCCCTATTTGAGAGGGTCAAAAACTGTTATACTACGGTGGATGGAAGAAATCCTGCACCAGTTCATAGGTGGTTTATCCCATTATTTACAGGCTTTCTACCATCCCAGGTGGTGCAGGATTTCTTCCATCCACAGCAGGATCATTTGGGAAATGGTGACCCAAATCTACCCACCATCACCGACCATCCTTGTCAGGCCGCTGTGCGCTCACAGCAGCCAGCTCCGCATTGCCTCCAAAACGCACCACGAATGGGGCCCCTGCATCCTGCAACGATGGCAAGCTCAAGTTGTTGGTGATGCCATCTCCAAGTTCGGCACCCAGAAATTGAAACTGAAAAAAAAAAAGCCTGAAACCCAAGCATATCATGGCTCGTGTTTCAGCTGAAATCTAGCTTTGTCATTTTGGCGTAAAAAAATGTAAAAAGCCCAAATCCCCATGGATTTCTCATAATTTTCCCGATGAAAATGCTCGGACCTCGGAACAACAATTCCTCCGACAGATCAGTCCTTCAGCATTAGGACCTTGCCGCTGATTTCAGCCAGAGAAAAGTTATCCAAATGGGGTTGGATGAATGGAAAAATGCTTTGGATTCTAACTGGTTGGTGGTTTCATCCCCTCTGAAAAATATGAAAGTCAGTTAGGATTATATATTATTCCCAAGATATGGAAAAATAAAAAATGTTCCAAACCATCAACCGGCTAATGATTTACCTCAGGAACCATGGTCTTTCCATAGAAATCGTAGAAAGGGTCTCCTTCAAATGTTCACTTGAATTAAATCTGGGACATTTAGGTCTTTGCCACACAATGGATCGCTAATGTCGAAGGCTGAAAAAATCATCCATTGAATGTATCTTCTGACCGTGCTTGAACCGCTTTCACCAAATTCAATCCATCTCTCCTATTCCCAGATCTGGTTTCATCAAAAAGGGGAGGAAAATCGAATGATATACCCCTCTGGCAATCAAACATGGCCGGAAGATCGAGCATCCATCATTTCCAGATGATTTTCCCCGCTATTTCTAGCTCCATTTGGCAGTGTGTCAAAACCTTGTACCCCTAGTGAACATCAAAATAGCTGGTAAATGGATGTTCATCCCACTAAAAATGGTATTAATAGGTATTGATCCATATACATTTCTAGCTCCATTGAGTTGGAGTAAAACCTCCGTTGAGTTCGGGGATCTTGCCACCTTTCATGACGCCGAGCACCCAGGCATAGCCCAGCTCCACGCCGTCTCGCAGCGTCAGAGTTCCCAGGATCCGCTTGGCACCGAGCTTCTCTTTCGCCAAAGCCTGGCCGGTGGCGATGCCAGAAACATTAAGAGTTGATGGATTTAGAACACTTGCATACCCTCTGGTGAACTAACATAGCTATTGAAAGATCCACCATTTTGAATGGGAAAATCCACTATAAATCACCCGTTTCAATAGCTATGTTAGTTTACCAGGCCGGGTAACCAGAAACATTCAGTTGCTAGATCAAACTCATGGATTTAGAATTATATAACCAGAAACATATAACCAGTAGCTAGACTGACCGTTTAGATGGGTATGGGTCAAAATTAGGTACCCCAAAATTATGGATGGTTAATACTAAACTAGACTAACATCTGTGGTCCCCTAGGTCTTCCATTTTGACCCACATCCAGATGGCTTTTAAACCAAGAATCACTGTGTGTTGACTCTATTTTTTGCGCAACGAGTGGGGTCACGGGTTTTAAGGGGCTGGAAATTGCCCAGCGCAGGGATGATAAAAACTGAATGTTTCCAAGGGAAACAAAGGGCATCCCCAATCGTCACCAAAACGGTTTCTTTTTACTAAACTGACCTCATTTTTTTTGGATGATTTGGGGGTACCCCCATTTAGGAAACCTCCCTATGTTGCCATGAATCTATCTATTTCGAGTCTGGTGGGAACCCCATTTGCCTTTTTGAGACAATTAGATAGCAGATGTTTGCGGCGGGAACAGATCTTTTGTCACCTGCCAACCTGGCAAGGGAATATCCCAACTTCATAGACAAAGAGCATGTGTTTTCAACCGATAGTGGATCTGTCACTGTTAATGATGTTCAAATCCCTCTTCACGATGCATTTTTTGGGGATTTTCCAGCCTTTTTGTCGGCCACACCGCTGCAATTTTAGTGAATAGTTGCTGAACTGCAACGTTTTTCTGAGGTCGTATAACTGGATGTTCGCTAGCTTCAAACTCCAATTATTATTGGGTGTTGAAATATCTCTCAGGTAGTTTGGCTAGATCCTTAAGTTGGTTGGCTATATCAGCTATAATAATCAAAACAACTACAAAAGCAATCTATATAACACAGTAATAGGATTTTCCATAAATATTGCTACAAAAGCTCCAAGTTTATGGCAGAATGACTCCCTCATCCAACCACTTCGATGTATCAACCTTTTCAATCCTTAGCCGAGTGAAATTCATCTAGCTGCAAGATGGTGCCAGTTATAAGCTGGTTTGTGAAGCCTATTTTACTCAAAAAAAAAACTAGTAAAATATGATTCATGTTCACCACCTTGCTGCCCTGGGTACAGGGTTTATGGCCCATGCCACAATGGGAATCATGCAAAAAAATGCCACAATGGATGGTTACCAATCCCAACGGGATTATTTCTGACCATGCCCCAAGATGGATAAGATATGATAAGATCATCCAATGTCTGACTTTAGTAGGTTACTTCACTAAATCCCCATGAAGGTATCCCATTGAATCACCATTTTTTCGGCTATAGTAGGCAGCTTCCACCATCCCATATTCTACCCCAACAAAAATCCTTGGAATTAGCACCATATTTGCTAGTTAAATCCCAAATCCCATGAAATGCCACTCCAACTTCACCTTTTCCCTAAATCACTATTAAACACCATTAAACACCATTAAATCACCATTAAATCACCATAAATCCCATCAACATATCCCATGAAATCCCATCAAAATATCCCATGAAATCCAATGGAACAACTGATCTTCGGCACCTGCGACACGCGCCTTGCCACGAAGGCCACGGAAGCCGCTTCCTCGCCCGCCGAGATGGCCCTTTTTTGATGGTGGATTTATGGTGGATTTGTATGGCCAATCACCAAGATTTATGGTGGATTTATGGTGATTTTTATGGAGAATCTCTATCTTCTGGGATAGATTTGGGATTTATAAATTCTACCATTTCTGGTGCTTTTTTTTGGGACCATGTTGAGATGATTTTTTTTACTCCGGCTAGTCTTGTACAATTTTGAGTAATCCAGTGACCATAGAGACCAACCAAGGTAAGTTGGTTGATTTCATTGGGCTAACCATTGGATGGGGCTTTAAGCAACAGAATTCGTGATTCATTCAAAGTAGGGCTAAGCTGCCCAGGGGGGTCATGAAAATGGTGATTTTGCCAACAAGAATGAGAGGTGAACTCCGAAAATTGGAGGGAGGATTACTGCTTTTAAGGGCCCCAAAAGGCCAAAAGGATAGGCAAGTTGGGTCATTTCACCAAGCTAACGATTGGATTCATAAATGAGATATCTACACTTGGATGGTGAACATAATTTGATCCTTTTTCTTGGATCTTCCAGGTGTAGAAACTGAAAAAAACCTCAGAAAACAAGATATGTTGGACCCAAAAAAGATAGATGGATAGTCAAATGAAAAGCGATACCACGCTATGTTTCATTCGCTTTTGGGCGGTCTATTCACCAAAGTTGGCCTATCTGAGTATCAAACCCCCACACCTAGGGGGTTCCGATGATGCTGGGCTTCCCCACAGCCCGTGGCATCTCGCTAAGTATCTGCTGTACAGCCTGCAGAAGGCCTGAAGCAGTCCCAGCCTCCTGGCGCAGGGTGGAAATGAGGTCCCTAAAGTAAGAGGGCTCTGGTTGATGGTTTCAACCCAGCAAACCTCCGTGAAACCACCAACCAAATTTAACCAAATGATATTAATATATACATATTCGATGTATCCCCCCTCATTTTTTTTCATGTACTGGTGGCTAAACACCATTTATATTGTTGATTGGTTGATTGGATTCCAACAATCCCCCCATTTTTTGTTGATCAAAATCCATGTTTTCATGTGTTCAAATCTCAGGTGCTGGTTTGAAACAGACCCTGGCCCACTGTCTATGTCAATGTAAACTCGAGCGTAATATCCCATGAAATCCCACCTTTTTTTTCATCACCGTTTTTAAAAAATGCTAAATCCCTAGTTCTGCTGGTCAAACGGTTTAAACAACAAAAATACAGCCTAAATCCCTATTTGCCTTGGCTAAGTCATGCTAAATCCCTATTTTTCTTGGCGAAATCTACGCTAATTTTTTGACACCCCTCACAAGGTGGCCTCCAGCTGCTCTTGGGCCGTCAGAAAGTCTCCCAGCCAAATCTGGGTAGCCACCTGGTGAGAGATACAAAAATGGTGTGTTCTTTACTTGAGTAGCGTTCAAAAAGCCTCTGTCGTCCCTTGATTCAAACTATTCAAACTGGCTGGGGGGATTATGTTGGGTACTCCCGCCCTATTCATTGATGATGATAATCCCCAAAATTATCCCCAATATATATTGGGTAGTCATTGATTATGATAATGATAATCCCCAATATATTGGGTAGTATAGTACCCCATAAATCCCCACAATCATCAACCAACAGCAGTAGATCGCAGCCACCGCTCACTTGGTCCATCGCAGAAAAATGTCATGGGGATGGCCTTAAAACTGATGTCAACGGGATAAAAGTATTGGACATTAGTGTGCCAAAAAAAAAAATCGATCACCAAGGTCATTCGATTACTCAAAAACTAGTCGCTAGGGGGAATAAATGATATCTTTTTGGAATTGATTCTATAAATTCAAAAACTGGTGGAATTACAAAAAAAAAACGTGGCATGTTGTTCTCAAAAATAATGCCAAAACTCAGCTCAAAAAGGGTCGCTGGGTATGATCTAGGCCCCATTAGAAATTCACCGGTTGATTAAGTTCCATTATAATTATAAGGATGATCCTCTTTTTATCCCCATTGTTGCTGGATTCCCCATGATATAAATCCCATCAAATCATGTCCCAAATCCCAATACATCCCATCAAATCCGATCAAATCCCAATCAATCCCAATAAAACCCATACATATATATATATACGTATACATATACATTTACATTAACATTAGCATTAACATTAACATTAACATAACATATAGCATATAACATATACCATATACCATAAGCTATCTACATATACTTTACATTAACATAACATATAACATATAGCATATAACGTATACCATATACCATATACCATATACCATATACATATACATATATTATCATATATCCATCCCAGTACCATCCGCCTCCACCATTTCCACCTCGCCCTGCACGCGCGCCCTGGAGCATAGCCGCAACGGCGCAACGCCATGGCACTGCGGGGCTTCAGCCGCAGGCGCACCAGGCATGGGGCAAGTTACATATGGAAACACTGGGAGAATGGGAAAATATGAGGTGAACCCGAAAAAACATGGATTTGATATAGATGGAGCATATATATATATAGATAGATAGATAGATAGATAGATAGATATCATATAGATCTGGAGCAAATCCCACAATTCCAATGGATTATATATAGATCATCATCATCTTCCCGGAACGGCCATCACTGGAGGTATACTAACCATTTTCAGCTACACCAAAATGGTGTTTTTTTAAACAAAGGGAAGATCTGCGGTGAAAAAATCGAAATGTTGTGAAATGGTATATCATATCTGTTGGTTAAAAATGGTCAAGAATCACTTCTGGAAGCCTTCAAAAATGGCTGGACAAAGTATCGAAATAGCTTAGTGGAGCTCACAGAAGGGAGAGAATGGATTTTCCAGAAATCGTCAAAACATCGCAAGAGTCAACAGCAATGGGTAAAACATTGGTGCAGTTGGAAAACAAGTGGGGCTGTTAAGCAGAGACCAAACAACACAGGTGGGCTCCCAGAAAAAAACAACAGGGGTCGATGAGTGACTCAAACATGTAGCAGGAGGTCTCAACATCAGAGAAGGTCTATTGAGCCACAACAACTAAGCTTTCCCCTGCAAATGTGCCCATATGTGGGACTTGGGATGGTTTTTTTTTGTATCGGCGGACCATTTCTACTACATTGTCATGAGGATTCAACCCGTTCCAAAGGTGATCAGTTCTGCATCGACCTTCCTTTTTGGTGACAGCTATGGTCCCTAGTTCGATGATTTACCTCGGAAAATATGGTGATTTTCCAAAGCTATTTTGAATTACCAGAGGCTATTCTCTGTCATCAAATCCAGCCGCAAATGGATGGAATCTGAGATGGCAACATCCGAGGGTCAGTAGGAAAGTTTGTTTCACCCAATCCCATAGCTGTAAAGTCCTGCACTTTCATACCCGAACATGTCGAAAAATCCTCGAAATTCTGCCAAATTTCTTACATTGATCTTTCCTGGGCCAGTGAAAATTCCCAGCCTCCCACGCTTCACCTAGGTGTATCCAGCCGTTGCCCATCCATTCCCAATTTTTCTCAGCGTCCAGGCACTGTCTGGGGCTTACGACAGCAGCCCGGCCTGTGGAATCCAGGGGTCTGAAGTCATGGGGGATACTGGACCAAAACCGAGTTTTTATTCGGGGAAGATGTGCCTATGATTCTTTGGTCTCCGAGTTGTGGGGAATCAAATCGATAAAATCTACGTGTTCACTGATTCAAACACAACATTTGTCGCCTCCAATTCCCCCTGTGGGTGAAAACCTCATTTGTAGTCGGTCAAGCCGCCTCTGCTGTTGCAGCTTCACAAGCGCAATTTTTGGGTTGGGTGATTCACACTTCACCTCAATCATCAAATGGATGCATGACCACTACAAAAAGAAATCCCAAACCTGAAAAGTCTTGGAAAACTCGCCAATTGTGGGATGATTCCCACCTTACCTTTCATCATGTACAAGGGGGGGGCTGGTAGTTGATGGTCGGCCATGCTTCGTCACGTCCCGTTTCTATTAGGATACCATACAATGTGAATAATTGTAGATCCGAAACCATACATGTGTTTGTCCGAACATGTGGTACCCATGTTCATCTATGTACTGGTCAATTACAATATGTACATATGTGTGTGTATATATATATAATATAGAGAGAGAGAGAAAGAGAGAGACATATGTACAAAGATACATATATTCCCTTTCTATGTTGCAACAAAATACAGGAAATACCCATTTTCTCACAGACCCAAGTACAGAAAACACAGCAAAAAGGGCCTCATTGCGCTCATCTTCGCTGGGCAATGGCACACCAGTTTCCAGTGTCGAAGTAACCTGGCCCACAGGTGGGTCGGAGGGGATGGAAATGTGCATTTTGTAGTCATAAAATGGAGATCACATGGATGAACCATGAGATTCTGGGTGTTCCATGGTGCGTTCTCCAAATGTTGGGCTTTCCACCATTGGAAAGCTTACTGAAAGAGGAATCTTCAGGTAGTTTTGGGGGTCACCAAATTGAAGAAATGAAGGGGGTCTGGGAACCCCACAGGAACCTTTCGGAAACTCCTTCACGAGAATCACGAAGCGAAAGAAACAAAGGGTGGAATAAAATAAACGAATTGAACTATGGAATATGTATTAATATATGTATATGTAGATGTAGATGTAGATGTATATATATATGTATCTGTATATGTAGATGCACATGCACATGCACGTGCGCATGTATATATATATACACACTATGTATGTATGTATGTATGTATGTATGTATGTCAATGTATGTCTATGTATGTCTATGTATGTCTATGTATGTCTATGTATGTCTATGTATGTCTATGTATGTCTATGTATGTCTATGTATGTCTATGTATGTCTATGTATGTCTATGTATGTCTATGTATGTCTATGTATGTCTATATATGTCTATATATGTATATATGTATATATGTATGTATGTATGTATGTATGGATGCATGTATGTATGTATGTATGTATGTATGTATGTATATGTACATGTATGTATATGTATATGTATATAAAGGATTATTAAAGTTTACTTAATCTGTGTTTGCTGTCAAGGATAGAAAAAGTGGTTTCACTTGTTTCAGCATATCATCTTGCGATTTGTTCCAAGTTGGGGATTCTTTAAGCCCTGACAGGGTCTCTTTGCAAGGGGTCTCTTGGTACTCATTCTGTTAAAATCTGAAATTAGAACAGCAGCAGTTCATCCATCACTAAATGTGTACCTATTCCAGCTGGCAGTGTCTTTACTTTGGTGGCAATGCTTTCAAGTGGCTTAAGGCATCAATATTCTGCAGTATCCTACAACTGTCTGTCAGAAGTCAACAACATCCTGTGGAACACAATTGATTTTCCAATATTTGAATCAACTGTCAAATGATGGTTCCTCATGCAAGAAACTGGTAGGCCAAAAAAACATGTTCTAAGAGACTCCTTCCAAAGACACCACAGCCAGCACTAAGGCTGCTGTATGATAAACCACCATTAAGTTAAGATCATTAAGTAGGATTGACAATCAACATGCCACGTAGGCCGCACACATCAAAATTCCGCAAAGTCAAGGAAACCTTGGGATTTTACAACAAATTTTGACAAAAATGTGATGAAACTGTCCGGAAATCCATCCAGAAAACCCTCAACTGCCGAAGAAATTGCGCACCACCTGCACCACCACCCAACTCTGCACGTGCCAGCTGCGCTGTCCAGCACAACTAGGTCCGGCACCTCCTGTAACCTCAGCAAAAACTACAGCCGAACCAAGAAATTTGGGAGAAACAGGGGCAAAAAAAATCACGGTATGTACGGAAAAATACATGTATACATATATACATAGATACATAGCTACATAGATACATATATACATATAATTATACATATATACCTATATACCTATATACATAATTATATACAAATTTACACATATACATATAAACACATATACATATATACCTATATACCTATATACCTATATACGAATATACATATGTACAAATTTACATATATACAAATATACATATATACATGTAAACATATATACATATATACATACATACATATATACATGGATACATGTATACAAATACACACATTTACATACATACATATATACATTTATACATAGATCCATGTATACATTTATACATTTAAACATGTATACATTTATACATGTATACATTTAAACATATATACATATATACAGATATACATATATACCTATATACATATATACATATATACCTATATACCTATATACCTATATACCTATATACCTATATACATATGTACATATGTACATATATACATAAATACGTATGTTCATATGTTCATATGTTCATATATACAAATACATATGTACATATTTACATAAATACATTTTACACATATACATCTATACATGTATACATCTTGACATATATATACATATATACATATGTTCAACTGTTTATGTCTTAATATGTTCATATATACATTTATATATATATACAGATTTACATAAATACATTTTACATGTTTACATATGTGCATGTATACATATATTTACATATATACATCTATTTACATATATACATATATACATATGTACATATATACATTTATACATATGTTCATATGTTCATATATTCAATTATTCATACATACATATATACATAGAAACAGAGACACATATTGACAGAAATACATTACACATATATACATTTATACATATATATATATACATATACATAATATATATACATTTACATATATATATATATACATACACATTTACATATCTATAATATATATACATATACATATACATATATATATATACATATATATATATATTACATATATATATATATATATGTTTATTCAAGTATACATATAAGTATACACATATATATGTACCGTTATAAAACCATATTGAACTGTCATTGTCGGCATCGTGGTTTTCACTATCACTATTGTTGTATATTATTGTCGTCGTATTGGTTCAAAAAAATGGTAATCATAATAATATTTTATCATGTTGTCGTATCTATTCTGTTGACCATGTGTGGTGATGGAAGAACCTTGGGCTTATTTATCGGTATCCATTCCATGACCCACATGTCTATTTTTGCCACAAATGGGATCGTCGCAAAGAAGAATGCGGAACCCCAAGAAAGGGGATCACAAGACAATGCTCTTTGCTCAACTGGCCACCAATGTGCAGTTTCTAACCCAACTAAATTTCAGCCTGTCAGAATTTTCCAAGTTGATGGTCCGGCGTTTGCAACTACTATTCCTGGTGGATTTGCCAATGGGAAAATGATATGAAACATCACCTTAAGAAAATCGAACTTTGAGGAACTTTTTCCCCCGATCTCCATCTGTCTCCAAACCCCGCAAACTATCGCCAGTTGAGCGGCAGCTCATCAAGCTCACCCTCCCTGTACACATGGCAATATCTTTGGCCTCGAAGTTTCGTCCAAGTGGGCTTCAATGGAAAACCATTCAAAAAGGGGGGCAAGCATGGCTCCCAACATTATAAGAATCAATGTCAATGCTCTCGGTTTTTAAAAGAGAGGGATCAATGGATCGAATTTACGGCAACATGTGTAGGCAACAAATATTTTTCCCGCAAATGTAAAGGTTTCTGGCAGCTGTCCCTGAAACCAAATCTGGGACTCCTTGATGCTCGCCTAGATTTTACCATTTGGAGGAAAGACACAGATATACATATATATATATATATATATGTATATATAATATTATATTGCTGCAAGGGCCCCGTTCACGGAAACAATTTTGGTTTGAAATGCGAACCTCCATTTTCAGAGCCACCTGCGCGCTGAAGAGGGCCCAGAGTAAGAAGTGACAACATGGAGGTAGAAAGGCACATAAAGATCCCGCTTGCAGAAGCCCAGCCAAACAATGCTAGCGGAGGAAGCAAAACGCTTTCTAGGCCCGTTGGCGGCCCTCCTGCCCTTTCTGGTATAACATTGTAATTTAAAAAAAGAGTGTGCGCGCGGCCGTGCCTACAGATTTACTGGTAAGACGGCAAAGTGCCTCTCTGGCTGGCGTTTCTGGGTGGTGACCTCCCACGTGCCAAAACTGACTAGGAATATGCCGCGCCTAAGGTCTGAGAAGCAGGGGGCCACAAGTCTCATAATACTTTTGGCCGCAGGAAGAAGAATCCAGACATTGGGTGGGCAGGAAGTCAGACTGAGTGGCTTTGCCAAAACTCTAAGACCCATCTAACAGTTCTTTGCAGTCTGCGCAATGCCAAAGCAAGCTCCAGGCAGTAAACTCAGTAAAAGGTCGTGCCATGCAACAATGGCGCGCTTGGCCCCAGAATTAGATATACAAAAAACGGCCGCATGAATCTTTCATGATTCCTGGGTTTTCCATACCTGGAGGATGAGACTTCCTGCATCCCTTTTTTTTCTCCCCGAAAATCTGGGCGGGAACCAAATATTAGGAAAGATGGCAATGGAAATTGTGCATCAAGATGAAAATGCTGTTGAAACCAGATGAGTTCGGAACAGCCATTGGGAAACTATAGGCTCCAAATTGCCTTGTCTTCTCTCGGGCCGTCACCCCTCATCATGAACCCGAAGTCACCATGTGTGCTGTCAAAGTTGACTTTCAATTGGGCATGGCCACTTTTGAATGGAGATGTACTTTAAAATCAGATCATGCTTTTCGGAACAATGAAGGGACAGGGGGGGGATCAACCACCAAAACCCTCTGCTACTTTAAAGTTTGCTATGCAAAATGGCCCGTTTAATTCGATGATTTACCTACTATTCTGACAGAGATGTTCAGTGGCAAACTGCAACAGTCACTACCAGGCGGTACTACTTCCATGGCTATAGATGATCTACCCACTAACACTTTCAGCGCCGGCTGGCTTGACTGAGCTCCCGCACACACTGGGGGCTGCTCTTCCCATGTCTCAGGGGTGCCGGAAACACCTGACCCAACCAGGCGCTGTGCCCGATCTCCCGATAGAAAAATCACGGTTTGAGGATAGAAGAATAGCGATTGCTAAAGGGGCATATCAAAGGGATATAACTTTCGATGCCATTTTGTTCTTGTTTTTTGGATTTTGCCTTGTTCAATTTTTTTGAACATATCGAATTGTCTCAAACATTGGAAGCGTCTTCTGCACCGCTGCCGCCATGGCGCTGGCGCAAAATTTGGGGTGTGCTCCAGCGACACGTCCAAATCACTATCTGATATGGGCTCTATGTCTTTCTCTATATCTGCATACTCATCCTATACATTATAGAATATACTTCAAGCAGTTGTCTCTATGTATATACAAATAAATCATATACATATTTTAGAACATACTTCAGGCAGCTGTCTCTATGTATCTGTGTGTGTGTATGTATGTATGTATGTAAGTATGTATGTATGCATTCATGCATGCATGCATGTATATATATATACATATATACATATATATATATACATATATATATATGCGCACAGAACCGGACGTTTGCCGAGAGCCTGTGTTTTCTCGCACGAAACGGCCCTTCTTTTTCACGGACCCCCACGAAGTCTGCGAAGGGTTGTTGCTGAAAATTATTGTGAAACGAGCCATGAAGCGAATTTCGTGTCGTACGCGTGGCGAGGGGCCACACCTAGTGTACGGTCCATCCCTGCAAGGCGGTGCGAACCGCGGATGAAATATGTCATATGTGTTAAAACCGTGGGAAAAATGAAATATATTATGTCATCTTGGGCGAACGTTAGGTTCTGCGGGTGTGTATATATATATATATATACACTCTATTACAGCTCTTCCGCATTTATATTGTCATTAGCTAGTTATATCCCATCTTTATATCAATAAATTCCTTGTTTGGAGGTGTCCTAAAATGGGGGGGTACGCCAAATCATCCAAGTAATTAGATCCTTTTAGCATTTAAATTCAAACATGGTGACTTGGGGATCCATTTTAAGAAACCCCCGAAATCCCATGATTAGTAACAGCAACGCTAACTAACAAACTTTATGGTAATACCAAGGATTAGTACTTAGTAATATGAAGCTGGCACCGGCATCAGAAAAGTTTCAGAGACAGCACCCTGCTGTGCGCACCCTTGCCCGCCAGACCCTGGACCCCTATGAGAAGCAATACGAAGCCCTACAGCTTGCCAGCTATCTGGGGAATGATAACTACCCGGCCTGGCAAACATACAAAAAACCATAGAAAATCACCATTTTGAATAGGTAAATCAACATAAATCAACTATAAATGGGGTATGTTCAATAGCTATTTTGACATAACCAGAGGGTAACCAATTTGACCAATTTTTAATTTTATAAAGTAAAGTCGTGTGGTTCTCTTTGTTTGTCGCCGACCGCCCGGCGCCTTCGCCCTCCTCGGCAGCAACTGCACCAGTGGCTTCAGCCGGTGTAGCTGCGGCCTTTCCCTGACATTGAAGCAGAATCATCATGGAGATTCATGAGATATTTATGGGATTTAATGGGATTTTTAATGGGATATTAATGGGATTTAATGGGATTTAATGGGATATTAATGGGATATCAATAGGATTTATATAAATATTGGATTATGGATCAATTGCCCAGCATCAATCAATGGATTCTTGGTTGCTGATTATCAATGGTAACTCTGAGCCACCATCCATCTAGTCGCTTCCCAAAGCTGAAAGCCGTTTCAGCGTTTTGGGGATGATCCCCTGCAATATCACTGGGAAAAATGATGATGATGATGATGATGATGCTTCACACATTTCCCTATAGAATCCAATGATTTTTCATCATCTTCCCGAAAGTTCGCCGGGTGTTGGGGGGAAAATTCCCCGTTTACACACCCGAAGATCATATTGATCGTTAAGTATCCCCTGATATCCCCACGAATATCCCCACGAATATCCTCATTATGCCTGTGAAATCACCTGTGTTTGTTGCTTCATCATGCCCCATATGGAGGCCTAAAACTCAATGAGGCTACCCCATTGATCATCCATTTCAACGGATCGGATTTTCCATGAAATAAACGAAACAAATAAACAATCCAGCTATTTGGGGTACTCCCATGTGTATATGGAAACCCCCATATGTAAACCATGATTTTTTCTGGTGCTTCGTCCAGAATGAGGCGCCATAGAATCTGGCCTTCTTCAGGCCAGGCGTTCGAAAACTCCAGGGAACCAGGACGTCCTGCGACGGAGTTTTTTTCAAGGGCCACTGTGGAGTTGTTATTATACCAACTCGAAATCTTAAACTTATACTACTTGGTGGTTTCAATCCCCCTGAAAAATATTAGTCAGATTGGATCATCATCCCAACTATTGGGGAAAATAAAATCCATGTTCCAAACCACCATGTTCCCATGTTCCCATCGGTCCGACCGGCTCAAGTTCGGAGCGCGGTCGCTTAGTCTAGCGGTTGGCTTAGTCCAAGCCGGCGAACCCTCTTTGAGGCGCGCAAGGTGACACGGCCATACCCTGGAGACGTCCAGCCAGGGGTAAGCCTTTTAAGGCACTGGATCCTCGATTGCAAGGTGTCTTGCAGTTTTCCAACAACCAGCGGTCCGCTTGCATCAGGCAGGCGTTGTCCCAGTGAATTGATGCCGTGGCAACAAAGCTCGAAATAGCATTGCCAGAGCCTCGGCAAATAGCCAATCCAATGGTCTGTCCAGTTGCATTCCACAGGAATTTGAGGGCTCGCTTGAACCATCGAACTCTCAAAAGAAAACTGTTGCGCTCTGGCTCGAGGTATGGCCTTGTGAAAAAGTCAAGCCACTTCTTCCCTGACTGAATTGGACCTGGGCAACCCCACGACAATTGGTAATCGACGTAGAGATGTGCGAACGTCACCCATTGTGCCTCTTTGACCTCATTGGTCCTAGCGCGTTCCCACCACCAAGACACAATTCGGTCTGCCATGCCAGCCCCATATTCGAGCGCCAGCTGCATGGGGACTGTTCCATCCCAGTCAGACATGTCAAAAACCTTGTCAAAAGTCCTGATCGGTCTTGGGACCGTGGTCGTCACTTCATCGAGCGTTGTCGCTCCATCCCATTGCACACTACGTTCCGCTATCGCCAGATGCAGGGCAACAATCTGTCTGTGGAGTTCAGTAGCCCCGGCAGTGGCTCTAGCATGGTATTCCCAAAAGTCCCAGAAAGCACGTGACCGCCGAAGGTTGGCAGTGCGTGCAACTCTGTCTGCTGCTGCATTGTTCCAAAAGGCCCAAGCTTCTTGTTTGGTCTTCGCATTGCGCAGTTGTTTGTGTGCCGCTGTTTTCACAACCTGAACATTCTGAGTGCCCAGTCTGTCTACGGATTCGAGAACCCATCTCCACAAGTCAGCATTGGCACTGTTGACGCGAAGTCGCACCCTACCCGCAGTCAGTAGGTGATACCTGTTGACAACCCCCAAACAGTCGCTATGTACCTTGATACGGAAACCACCTTGAGCTGCATGGTGAAGGACGAACGCAAGTGCATACAGTTCAGATCTGTATGCGGTCTGTGTCAATCCAGGCAGTGGCCCTGCCCCGAGAACACCTCGGAGGTCGCAATTCCACTTGGAAGACAAGGGCGAAGCAAGGACAGCCCCCCACGCAGCAACACGGTAGGACACATTAGACTGCCACAAACAGGATCCATCGGTGAAAACCTGATTCCAAACTCCAGTGGTGAAGGGGACACCAAGGTCAGGGATAGCAGCACTGACGGAAGACAACAGACGTAACCAACCAACACTAGAAGGGGCACGGAGACACCAACCACGCAGAGCCAAGGCATCCGGAAGGCCAGCACGCAAGGAAGTGGCATCAGGAGCAAGGTTGTGTCGCAGATCGGCAGTCTGCTGGCATTGAAAGTACCTATGCTCAAGTGAGTCAGGTTCTTGGCACCATTTGCATGTTCCCGGCCCCTCGTTCCAGTGACTATGCGCATCTTGCGTGAAGAGTCCACCGGCAAGTCCAAGGCGGAGGAGGGCTTGTTTATCTGGGCTCAGGGTGCCCAATACACGGCGTGTAGAGGCTGGGTCAACCAAGTCAAGACCCTCAAAGTCGCGCCTGTGGGAAACCTGCGCAGCAACCAGGCGATTCCACACCAGTTGCAGCCGGAAGCAAAGCTCTGTGTAGTTGATATTCCACGGTTGGAAACGACCAATGGAGTCAACCCAAGAACCGTCAGAAAGCACACTAATGCCCACAAGCTGGATGCGTTCCAACAAAACTGAAGTAGGTGAAGACGTAGGGCAAGAGACATGGCCGCAAGCAACAGGGTAAAGGTCGGAAGCCCAAAAGTCCACCGGGCATTGAGCTCTGGCATCAGCAACAGTATGAACCAAGGCAAGAAACTCTGGGTCCAGAAAGGATTCAACAAGCCCCAAGTGAAGTATGGGATTGACCCCCGCTTTGTCGGCTGACAGCGCCTGTGTTGCAAGACGACGATGACGAAGCCACACTGACCGACCAACGGGAGCCGATGAAACCCCAAACAAGCCACGAGGCCAAGCAACAGTACGCAGGGCACGGACTTTGGCCTGGTAGCTGGCCTTGCTAGCTTTTAACCGGGTCCAGAGAGACTCAAGGTCGTCCAGTCGTGCAGTCACAGTCTTGTTGGTGCGTTGGCGGGAAAAAGCCAAGTGGGCTCCAAGATCACGCGCACAGTGTTTGACAGGGATGCCACATTGGCGAAAACGACCTCTCACAGCAGCATCAGTTGACCAGCCGAAAGTTTTGGCTTTATCGACCGTGAGGTCCGTCAAACTTGCGAACTGAAGCAGTAAGTCAAGTTGAGCAACAGCAGAAGAGACATCGAAAGTCAAAAAGTCCCAATTATCGACAAAACTCAAGACACGGATGGATGGGTTCATGACATGGATGAAACGATGAAGGATGTCGTCCATCAGTAACATGCCGAAACAACTCAAGGCACATCCTTCTGCAAGTCCTGTGCTTGTTGTGCAGGCTCCACTGAAGGAATCACGGATCTTGAAACGTTTTTCCATGCCTGCCAGTGCACCGCTCCAAGCTTTGACGACTTCAAAAGGGACCCCACAATGCAAGGCTGCCGCAAGTATCGGGTACCTCGGTAGGCAGTTGTAGCATTTCTCTATGTCGGCTATGAGGCCTGACAATGGTTTCTGCTGGTCATGGGCTGCCTGAATTTCGGTCACCAACACCCGCCATAGGTCGCTGGTTTGATGAGCTTTGCGATTTCCATGCACATCTGGATGGGCCCAAGTGTCAGCCCAGTCAAGCAAATACCTAGCGTGGGCACTGCTGAAGCAACGATATGTCATGGAAAAAATTGTTATAGGCCGAAACTGGTTCACCTCAGCTGCCTGAGTGGTTTTTGCTAAGCTGGAGACGCGTCCACTGATGACCTGCTTAGGCCAGCTGCCATCAGTCAAGGCCCGGGCAAACATACCACACAAACATTCCAAAACCGCCACATCAACAGACAGCAAATCACGCCGGGACACACCATCCAGACCACAGGCAGACTGTTTCTTTTTGCGACTGACTTCTCCACGCAGGAGTGCAGGTGTGATCACAAGAGCTTCAACTGGGTGGTGAGGAAGGTACTGCCTAGCAAAGGCTACAAGTTCGTGCCAGTGAGAGTGTGGTAACCCATCATGTCTGCACCACCGTTTTTGCCACTGCTCTTGGAACGCACTGAACAAAGCAGGAAGAGAACCCAGAGGGGTAGATTGCACAACTTGTTGGCCTCTGGACAGGCCTTCCACTGAGTCCACATAGAGCTTGGTGTCCGTGGCATGGATGATGTGGAGGGGATGTCCGTCCACTTGCAAAGGTTTAGAGTCATCAAAGGCACAAGCTGGCTCAATCTCAAAAGCACAGTCAGCTTCGTCGATCTCGGAGATTTTCGCACGAGCGACATCAAGAAGACTGGTCACTGGTTCTGGTGGTGGCCGCTGGGTATCTCGGAAGATGTGGTTGGGATTCTGTTGGTGGAGCCATTTCCTATGCCCTTTCCTGTTCTGAGTGAGCTGCCGCTCCAAGTATCTTACTTCACATGTGAAAACCTCGCACAGAAGGGACGCTTCATGGAACGCAGGCATCTGGGTGGGCACAAATCCAGGGTCCCCAAGTCCAACACAACAACGTCCAGTCCACCAAGTTTGGAAGGAAGGGCTAAAACCAGGCGCCCGAAGGATGCTTTTCCAGAGTTCAAGACCATGGAGCGTGGCAGCAGGGCTTGAGGAGGCAAAGTGCACTCTAGCCCATTGGGCATAGTTGTTCAGGCGTCTCAGCTGTTTCAGCCAGCGGCTATGTTGGACGTCATACCCATAGAAGTTGGGTTGGGCATCACAGAGACGGCCAAGTTTGGGCGGTGAAGTCCATCCTTTGCGTCTCAAGGGCTCGAGTCTTTGGCCTCTCCCCCCCATGGCTGGCTTCCAGTTGGGCAATTGCTCTGCAGCACCAGCTTCGCAAGAAGTCCAAAGGTGTTGATATGCCAAGGTAGGGTCTCCAGATTCAAAGTCCACAGAGACAGAAGACAAATCCACTGAAGTCCATGACACCTGCTCCGGCATAGGCCACAAAAACCTGCAAGCAAAGGCTTTACCTAAATGGAACTCAGCTTTCAGTGCAGAGTGATCCAGGAACGTCTCATGATCAACCACAAGCCCACGGTAACTCGCAAGGAGTTCAGGCGAAAGCCACAGGAAGTCCTTCTGTGTGACCTTTTTACAAGTTGCCTGTGGCGGGGTTCCACTCCGCAAGTATTCCAAGGTTTGCACTTCTTCCCAACCACGTGCACGCAAGAGATTGGTCACAGGGAGTTGAGATTCCAAGTAATTCCAATCACCTCCAAGCCAACGCGGTCCAACAGCAACATGCACCATATGATCAACAAGGTGTTGCAACATGGCAGTGGTTCGTTCCAAGGCATTGGGATGGTTTTTGCCTTGGGGATACCCGTACAACAGACCCCCGGTGACCCACATGTGATTCACAAAAGACCCAACAACCTGCACGCGACCGGTCTCGTACATGTCCAAAGGCCAGCAGGAACCCAAAGGGCGAGACGGACACTTGGAGACCACAGCAACGCCAGAGTAGGAGCCTGCATGACTTGCAACAGACCTGGGTGAGAGGGTCGCCCCAGTCACAAGAAAACGGTAGGGACTAGTGGCTCTGAGACTAGTCGACAACATGGATTTGGAGACATCGGT